ATTACCTAAAGTTACTTTAATTACTAGTAATTATACTAGTCAAGACAGCAAGTATATTATGAGTAGATANATAATATATATATATATATATATATATTCCATCCACCTTTGAATATAAGAATGGAGAGCTTCTAGTTTAGTAGTGAGAATATCGCGTTTGGTTGGTTTATTTGACATTTTGAGAATATGGAAATTAGTCAATTTCGCTGTTTATTTATGTTTTCATGCATCATAGAGGATGATATTTATTAAATGATCAGGATTTTCAAATCATAACTCATCTATGATAGTTCTAACAAAATGAATGCTTTAAATTATATGAAAATGTTAAGGGAATAGGATCGGGGCATCGGTGGTTAGGGGGACAGGTGCTTTGAATAACATTCTAGGCTTCAATCGCACCGTTAACACTTTCAAAAAGAACAAACTGTTATAGTTCACTTGTAAAACACTATCGATCTCAACGTTTAAATCTTGAACGGATGGTTGATAATGATTGATGATCATGATTGACTATTCCATTTTTATTTTTCTACGCATTGGATTAATAAAAAAATATCGCCGTCTCATGCTTGCAACATCAAATACAAGGCAAAACTGAAAAATAAAGAAAAAAAAATACAAAAAAAAATATTGCCTTAAAGTTTCAAAAAATATAGATCAAAGGGTAACTATGGACATTGAATAAAAGTCAAAACTGAAAAATAAAGAAAGAAAACACAAAAAAAATCTTGCCTTAAAGTTTCAAAAAATATAGATCAAAGGGTAACTATGTAAATCTAATCCAGTTGGTATGTGAACTTCTCTTTAATTAAGTTTAGGAGGATTTGGTTTCTCCCTATGCCCATATCTATGATAATATGTTTTTCATTCATTCGTAGTGATCAAGGGTCATTTTCTGGATGCGAAATGAGTAAAATATTGCGTATGCAACGAATATCCTAAGGCATAGGTGGTCAAGGTAAAAAAGATACGACTTGAGTTCTATTCCTACCACATGTGAGGCCCTTCCTCATTTTTTGCGTGACTCAATAAAACATAGTTGGGGTTTGTATAAAGCTGAAGCTCTAACCAATCAAAGTAAGGCACACATTCAAATAGTGCCGAAGTCTCTTGTTTTAGTATCAGATATCTTTGTAATGGCTTGAAAGTTTTTTTTCATATCTAATTATAAATTTTAAATGGTAAAAAATAGTGTAGATCGAATAGATCTATGAACAGTTGATAATCTAAAAAATTGATGGTCTAGATAATACATTACAATATGCACTATTTTCAAGTCATGGAATCTACTTTTCTAATATCGATACGTCTTAAGTCGAGATGATCAATTGAGAGTTTTTTAGCATCGAAACAATTTTTTCTAGTAAAATTTTGAGGTGTGCCTTAATTTGATTGTTTAGGGCCTCACCCTTATACAAACTTATTTCAAAAACCATATCACACATGCATAGGCTTAAGAATATCACCTCTCTATTTTCCTTCCTTCTTTATAAATCATCCACTGACATCCTTTTTAAAGCGTATTTCATCAAATCACTCCATCCAGAGCATACTGTGATCCTACCTTTTGGAATTTCATCTAATTACATCAAAACACTCCATCAAGAGTATACTCTAATCCTACAATTTTGAATTTCATCAAATCACTCCATCAAGAGCATACTGTAGTCCTTCTTTTGTGTTCCTCACCTCCTCAAGCCTCTGGTTGCACATAATTCACATGATCAAAATGACATTATGCATTTGGGGATAGTAGGTTAGAGAGAGAGAGAGAGAGAGAGTACCATAAGTTCAAACCAAGGTGTTGGATGCAAGCCTCTTGCAAATTTGGCTGTGTGGGCTGCAAGCGAAATTCATGTTGGTGAGGAGTGAAATTGATTGGAATTTGTGATGATTCACCTCCATGTTCGTAGAAGCTCCCAAGCTGATGGAACAATGCCGGATAATGCTCCCTCCTTGCTTCATGCGCCCTTATCTATACAACACAATGTCATAGAAAACCCAAGATATAAATATAAAACAAAACAATAAACAATAAAAAACTCCTATTATTTATTGATCACTGCGACACCCCAACAGCTAAATCTAGGTTAAAGTTAGGGCAAATACAAGAGACGATATGTAGTTGTTCTCATCAACCAATTGGCGCCCCTGTTTCAAAAAATGAAAACCAAGTAAATATCCCATTTTTTTTTTTTAAAAAAAGGTTAAATTCCTACATTTTGCAAGATTGAGAATGATACTTATTCATACCTTTTTATGTTGGCTCTCCATTTGCTGCTTTAGTAGTTGTTTCTGTGAGACACCCACCATAAGAACCAAGTGTTCATTACAAAAAGAAACAAAGTATTCAATACACAAAATTACAAAAAATAACAAAGTATTCAATACACAGAACAGAAAAAACCATGGTAAATAAATCATAAGATGCATGAGGATAGAAAATTGGAAGAAATGTTACCCTTTCTGCACGAACTCTAGACAAGGAGCATTCAAGTTGTTCCTCTACTTGTTGTAACTGATCACTATCTAGGTTTGATAAGTCTTCAGCTCTTAGGGTCTTGAGGTTCGCCTCAAGCCTGTCATTCTCTAACTTTAATGCCCTCATGTCCCAACACATTCTCTGCAAGTTCTGAGGAGAGAAGAATTTGTTTTAAGGAATGTCTGGTTTCATGGGGGCAATGTATGGTTTTGTTACAAAACCTATGTGTATATATACAACTATTTCACTTTAGGAACAAAGAAGTCAAAATCATCCTTATCCATCGAATGTAAAATTTGATAGCTTGAACTGTGTCACATAGTTCAAGAAAATTATTTTAGACTTTGTGCTCAATCAAAGATACACTCCTAACGATCTGATTACACATCTAATGGTTAATAATGATTGTAACTCATATAAAAAAAAAATGATTTTATTATCTATATGTTTGTATAGTTATTAGTCATATTTTGGGGATGATTATAGTACCTCATCATTGTACACATTAGGGTACTCTGGGATATAAGAGCTTGACATTCCTTGGTACCTCTCTATGATGCTTGACATGCTGCAACATGGTCAAGAAATGTTCATAAGTTTGTGGCCATCTTCAAAATACTAAAATTAAAACCTCATAAATGGATTTGAGACTAAAATGTTACTTTCTTCTAAACAAATGTGATGCTGGACTTTGAAATTTATATTCATTACTCACACTATTCCCAAGATTTTTCACTGAGATATACTAAGGTTGGTCTTTTTCGATATACTGAACTTTAGCCATTTTATAGGAGTATAGTTCACTGCATAGATATTTAGACAACATGGTAAGTATGGGAGGAAAGTTATTTGTGTGCATCGCATGTTTACGTAACATCTTAGAGCATTCAGTAGCTAGTGAGAAAATTAAAGAGGAATCAATCTTTCATTTTTCCTTTCCAGTTTTTTACCTTTTTTCTTTGGGAATTTCACTGATCAGTGCCCAAAAGATTAGTTATTGTATCCTAAAGCTTTCCTGTAGTTACATGCATTTTAGCAAAATCATGCAGTACATATATATGAAAAAATTACTAAAACACCCCTAGGTTTGTATGTTCTCACAAAACGCTGCCGTTGAAAAGCCCCTTTTTCCCATTTCACCTAAGGACTTTTCAGCTATGTTTGTGATGAAAATGTGACTCTTAGAAAATTCAATATAAAAATTCATAATTCTCTCTCTTTCTAGGTTTTTCTCACTAAACCTGCATTTCATTCATGTTTATCTCTTCCTCTCTTAGAAAACATAAATGGGTTTGTTGGTTTCTATCTCTAAAACTCTCTCTATTTAAAAATATGAATAAGTTTGTTGGTTTCTCTCTCTCTAAAAGCATGACTAGATTTGTTCATTTGTTTCTAAAACTATAAATGAATTTGTTTGTTTCTCTCTTTCCCATTTTTTCACTCTAAATAGATCCTTAACCCATTGTGTCTGTAGAGAGAGAACTAACTAATGAATGAGAGCCAACGTATAGAATCCCTAATTACATATCTTAAAAGTTATAATTGACATAGTTGACAATAGTTTCTAATATGTATCAACATTAAAATATCATAGAATATATGAATATGAATGGGAATGTAGGCCTAGAGAGAGAGAAATGAGAAACGAGAGCGAGAAACAATGATATTTTTGTCATAACTAAAGCTAAAAAATATCCTGAGCATAAGTTAGAAAAAAAAAGTATGCTGGGGTAATGGGTGAGAGTTTTCAATAGGGGCATCATGAAGAGAACATCTAACCTTTGGCGGGAGCCGGGGGGGGGGGGGGTTGTGTGGTTTTAGTAAATTTCCTTTAATATTTTCACTAATGACGGTTAATGACACTTTAAAGTAAAGAAAGCATGGCCTTTATTTTTTTTTTTTATCAATCGTAAATTGGATTTCATTTTTCCTATAAAATATGAACTAAAATCCATCAATGAGAATCATAAGAAGATGTGATTTAGTGCATTAAACATGATTAATGGTTGAGATATCCATACTAGTTTGATCGCACAAATGAAAAATCAAAATTCCTACTCATTTTTCACTAGAAAATATTCCATAGTTTATATGAAAAATCATATATTTCTAGCAAATCTGAAGTGTGCATCGATTCTACTACAAACACACGTTTTGCTCTCAAACGGAACAATATTTAATGCCAATTAAATGGTTTGGGTTTGTTCTTTTACTTGAATTATGAAATGCTAGCAGCAAATTGTTAAAGAAAAGAAAATATTTACGGTGTAGATCTAGAACTCCAAGCCCGCGTAGTAACGGGTGCGGGCTTGGACTCACCAAACAATTCTCCTTCTAGATATCATGTATATTGATAGATTATCTAACAAATTTTCTTGATATTGTGTTCTTCCATTTGGGAACTTCTCTCGTCTTCTAGTGCAAACATCAAGCTAGTGATTTGTATAGAGAGCATAATATTGGATTTACACAGAAGAAAACCCTAGTTTTTTGTTCTAGGAGAATATATATGTGTGTGAGAGAGAGACCACATCTTAGACACCAATCAGCAGATGCAGATCTAACTTTCGATCGAACAAAAGCCAACTACTTTTCTTATGCCAAGTATGAAAATGTAGAGAAAAACTCAAAACACAGGGAACGAGGAAAATGAATAGAAACCAAAAGGACGGCAGTGAAGTTCTACGACATGGATCCAGCAAAGAGAAACCATCCTTCATTTTCCACCAAAAATTTACACGTTCTTGTTGTAAAATCAACTGATAAGATTTTGGGACAGAAACTATATAAAGAACAGACAGAAATAAGATACATTACTCAATTAATAGACCAATTCTTTCGTAATAGCTAATTTCAACTGATGAAAATTAGTGGGTTGAGGTGAAAGGAAGGAACACTGACCTCGAAGGTGGGTTCGAGTACTCATACATCTTACCCGAGCTCGAGAATACGATTAGCCCAAGCTGAGCGTCACAAAGAATGGAGAGCTCATGCGCCTTCTTTAAAAGTCCAGTCCTTCGCTTTGAGAAGGTCACCTGTCTATTCGTTCGGTCCTCTATCCTCTTTATCTCTATCTTGCCTCTCCCCATTTCTTCTTTCTTACTTGCCTGCAAAAAAAATCAAAGAAGGAGAAGTGATCAGGCTATGGTGTTGCTTGGAACGGTGAAAACTTGAAGATGGGTTAGATGGAGTACAGGATTTAGAAGTTGGAGAGAGAACAGACCCGTGCAAGAGAAGTATGGGAAGCAAATGGTGGGGTTGCTATCAAATGGCCCTCTTCAGAGAGAGAGAGAGAGAGAGAGAGAGAGAGTGAGAGGAGAGGGAGAAACCTGGTATTGATCAGATGTATATGTATGAACTCTTCGTCAGATGATGTGTGCAGAGAGAGATTCTCTTCTGTACTTGATTCAAATGCTAGAGAGAGAGAGAGTGATTTGGAGAGAAACATACAAGGGACTCAAACGGTGCATGTATAATGTGCTTTTTGCATACAGAGAGAGAGAGAGAGAGAGAGAGATTGAATGTACTGGAGGGAGAAACATGCGCGGGGCTCAAATGGAGCACGAATAATGTGTTTTTTTTTTTCATGAGGAACTGCTGGACCAAATTAGCAACTACAGTGCGATGGGGACCCATTAGGTCCGTCCCCCAATCAAATATGGCCACCTCTTCAAACCATATTCCCTTCGCACCTATTTTCTTGCCCTCAACCATTTTACAATGTCGTTTGTGACGAAAATGCCCCTCAAAGACCAGAATCACTCTTTCTACCATGTAATCTCTCTCTATGAACGCTCTCAAATTCGCTTAGCTTTGGCCCAAGCCCTAGACCCATGTGAAGCAAAGCCTCATGCTAGCGCGTCGGTCAGATTTCAACCGCTTCGGTCGTATGCGGGTCTGTTTCGGGCTGATTCGCTCTAAACTTCGGTTTTTTTGACCTAAGCAAAGAAATATGACATATATATATATATATATATATACAAGTTATTTTTTATTTTTTTATATTTTAATATTTAATTTATTTATATTTAATTTTAAAAAATCTTATGCCTTCCCCTAAATCGGTCAAAACATCGAGTAGCTTAATTTTCTCACCAAACCCAAAAAAAAAAAAAAAACCTTCTAACCGAATGTGACAACATAGCTGTTTTCCCATCCAAATCCTGCGGCGCTTCCCTTAAGAAAATTTGCTTGGATGAACATGCAACCTTTGTAGGGAACAGAGATTGTTGGGTTCGATAGAGAAAGTTCATATTGGGTGATGGGGATGAACTTACAAAGTGGAGTGAGAGAGTGAAGAGAGCTGGAGAAGGTTCAATGGAGAGGAGGCTAGAGAGAGAGAGTGTGTGTTGGAGCGTAAAAGTAGGGCAATAGTCTTCTGCCTTCTAAACCTAGAAGCTAGAGAGATAAAAGACATATAGGGCAATAGTCTTCTGCCTTCTAAAGCTAGAAGCTTTCCTTTATTGAACCTGCTATTTTTTGAGGTTTTTCAACAGGGTTTAATGAGTGGCGGGGTGTGATTTTATTTTTTATTAGTAATGATTTCTGACCTGATATGAAGTGAAACATTGGTGATCATTAATTGAACTGTTGAAACAGTCATTTCTTAACATTGATGACGGTTTTGAGGCCAATTATTATAGTTCAAGGATGAAGTAGACTAAATGGAGGATATTAAGACTTCTTTCTTAAAAAAAAAAGCTGTATTATCTTCTAAACAATCAAAGTAAAGCAGTGTCATGTAGATTCAAAACTGGAAATCTTTCCTACAGCTTTAAAATATATTTTCATCGCTAATTATAAAATTTAAAGTTTAAAAAATAATGTAGATCGAGTAGACCTATGAAAATCTTGAAAATTGACTGTCAAAAAATGTAATACAAGATGCACTATTTCTAAAATTTAAAATTTATTTTTAACTCATGTCCATGCATCTTGAGGTTGAGATGGTCAATTTATGATGTTTGAGCATCAAAACAACCTCTTCTGGTGGAATTTTTGAGGTGGGCTCTAATTTGATTGTTAGAGCTTCATACTTATATAAACTTTTGTCATTGTAAAATACTAAACTCCAAAAATTGTACAAATCAAGCATAGCTATAAACAAGTGAAAATCTAAAAAATGAACGGTCTAAGATAATATGTAGCAAGATTAACTATGTTTAGGACTTGAAATGTCTTTTGTCCATATCCATATATCTTGATATCGAGATAATCAAGTGGATAGTTTTCCAATGTTAAAATAGTTTTTTTCGATGGATTTTTGAGGTGCACCTTATTCTACAATTTGAGGTGTCAACCTCTTAGTTACTAGGAGCGCCACTAAGTGTATGGTTCCAGCATCGGAATCCAGATCCCACGCTCCAAAGTAGGGATCTCAGCCATAGCCTTTTTTTCTTTTTTCTTTTTTTTGAGGGGGCTTGAACCTTTTTTTCAAGAATCTCAATCCTTATTCGTACATATCTGGATCCCCCTAATGAGTGAGCTGAATCCCTCTATTTATAGATCTTGATCGCTATCAAGTTGGGATCTCGATCCCCCGATTCAATCCCGATTTTATGGATCTCCATCTATGTCACGTGGTGATCCCAAATATCAAGAATTAAGGTATGTAGATTGTTATATATAAATTGTGGACTACAGAATGTTGGGAAGAGAGAACCCTTCATTGCGCAATTGGATCTAGTTTTTATGAGTATTAGGACTGTAGTCCTTTGTGTTTGTGAATCGAGGAACCCAATTTATATGGATAGAAGTCCCTAGGTATTTGAGGATACATATGCCATAAGAAGTGGGAAAAACAACCCTTATAAAATGGGATCAGGATGTCATGATTGTTGGGACCAAGTTCCTTTGTACATGGGATGCATCTCCGGGCTAGATACATTGCATAAATCTCGATCCTATACTACTAAAACTTTTGGCCTATGGTGTTTATTGGTTTTTTGTTTTGAGTAGAAAACTCTCGATTGGGTTTTTCAGACCCCATTTTCCATAGGTCTCTCCATACCTATTTTCTCCCAATTCACTCTTTCAATAGAAAGCATCTTGCAGGCCGCATCAAGTTCAATCTTTCTCTATAACCTCAGGTTTAGTGTGGTTTTTTCGGTTCCATGCCCCAATTGGAGCGATGTTGGAGAGGAAAATTAGAGATCGCAAGAAAGAGGGAGAGAGAAGATGGAGATGCAGATATAATGGAAATAAGGGCAAGGCATAGAGATGGATGAGTGGCAAGATATGAAGACATAGATTTCGTAATGAATCTATTTGAGATAATTTAAACGTGGCATCAATAGGTGATAAAATGAGAGAGAGTAGATTTAGGTGGGCTGGCCACGTATGGCGCCAATAAGTATAACACCTGTTAGAAAGTGCGAATTAGTTCAAGTAGAATGACTAAAAAGAGCAAGGGGTAAGCCCAAAAGGATGTAGTTGGAAGTAGTCCGAAAAGATATGGGGACTTTGTAGGGTTCTAGTGAACTCCTAGCTTGCGGAACCGGGAATCTCAAATGCCGGGATCCTACCCAAGATTGTGTACATGATTGGCTAAACACGATATAGATGAATATAACTATACATCAAGTGAGAGAAATAAATCAAACATAAAAAATATACCACAACAACACACGATTTACGTCGTTCACCCCGTAGGGCTACATCCACGGCCTCGGCAACTAGAAATCCATTATCACAATGAATATTACAGTTTTGGGTTATAACAGATAATACCTATCTTTAAACATCGGTAAAAAACCATCACCGATCTTCCTTTCTAAACCCGTTCTCCCGACCGAGCAACACCGTCGATCAACATCCTCTTTCTCACCGCAATACCACTACTGGAAAGATTATATCGAGAGCAACATAGAGATTTTTTTTCTCTAGAAGTGGAAGTTAACCAACTCAAAACTCATAGAAATACCGCATCCCTCTCTGAGGTCATGTCTCTCTCTTGGAGATCCATTCCCATAACCTCCAAATGGGTGACCTTCAAAACGATGGATATTATGTCCTCATTTACTCTCTTATAAAGATATCACTTTTTTGCTTTTCAATAAAGTCAAATTTCTAATTCACATAATATCCTAATCTTTAGAAGAAAATATGGGTACGGTAATTTAGCTATCACCAAACCCAACAAACTTATGACCTTCACTTAGGATGACCTTTAATAGAGCAGGAAAATCAAGATTTATGTAGCCGACTCTAATTAATTGAAAAAAATATAAAATGATGATAAAATTACCTTTTTAATGTAGGGAGGAGATTATGTAATTTTTGCCAAACGGTTATTTTGAGTTGAGAACACACAAGACTTTTGCAACCCGTTTGCTTTTATTTCCTTTCCTTCTTTTTCTTCTTTAAATGCAATTTGATGAGCTGGACTCCGCACTCTCATGCTTAGTTTCTCTCTGGTCAAAGTGTACAGCAGGTCACTGATCTCTCTCTCAATCTAGTTATGGTTCTGATTTTCAGGTACCTTTCGCTCTCTTCGCTCCGTGTGGAAAACTTCCTGGATTACGGGGGTGAGTTATATACATCGTGACCTTCCTAGAAATGTGTATTCTTCCGCTCGGAGTCTGCGTTGGATTAATGACCATGCCATTCGTTGTCTGATTTCTTCCCTTACCAGACCACCAGTGTTTCCAAACTCGGCTGGTCCAATTCGGAACCGGCCAATCAAACTGGAGTACTAGCTTATTTGTTTTTGGCCGGTTTTAATGCGTATTTAAAACATATATAAAACCTAAAAAAATAAAATATTTGTTCGTAATATGTATTTTTTTATCATTTTGGCCAAAATTGCACAGCGTTTTGGCATTAAATACTTATTTTCAAAATTTTCTATTTTTTTTAGAAAATTTTGAAAATATCCTTGGCACAAATAAATCTCTTTAAAAATCTATTTTTTTTCTCTGTTTAATCATATATTAAATATATTTTTTATAATTTTTTGATTTTTTTTTTAATACTTTTTGGACCCGCCGAAGTCTACTCCGTTAGGCCAGTTGAAGCGGTAGGTTTACCGGTTATTCGGACTCTTTCAGGGAGTTAGATTTTCAAACAACACTGCGTAGTGGTTTCCCCGGACGTTAGAAAAAAAAAAAAAGCTTTTGTTTCACAGTGAAGAACTTATTATGGAACTAACATATCATCTTTAGAGAGACAACCTTGAATACAAACCGTCAAGCTCAGGCCTCTCTTAGTAAAAAATGATGCTGATTACGAGTCAGACATTCATTTATTGGCGAATTTGCATGATGCAGTTGAAGGAAACGTCTTAGCATGCGTGATTGCAGGGTGAGACTGATTTTTTGTCCTGCTCTTTCTCTCTCTGTCGGTGCTCTATTCCTCCTTACATCTCTTGTGCTCTCTCTCTCTCTCTTGCACACATATAAAAACACCGCAGATG